CCTAGCTGTTTTCAGGATTCTGCCCTTATCCTTGATTTTAGAGAGCTTGATTATTATATGTCTTGGTGATTGCCTTTTAGGGCCTATCCTTACTGGGGTTCATTGAACTTTTTGAATGCTTATATTTTAGCTTCTCATGATGTTAGGAAATATTTCTTCCAGAAGCTCTTCAACTATCTCCTCTGTGGACTTATGTGACTCTTCCTGTTTCTGAATGCCGTAAGTCTTAAGTTATTCCTCTTCATGTTGTCCAACATGAATCTTAGGCCTTCTTCAGATTTTTTTATCCTATTTTGTGTTTGCTCTTCTATCTTAGAAGTGTTAAGGGATTTAGCTTCTAGCTCACCAGTTCTGGCTTCTAACTCTTCAATTCTACTCCTTTGCCCTTTCAGTGTATTGTCCATTTCTGATATTCAATTATTCATAATTTGGACCTCTTTCTGTAGGTTTTGCATTGTTTCTAATGCTGTATCTGTTTTATTTGATTATTCCTGTAGCTCTTTCCTGACTTCTTCCTTATTTTTCTCAACTCCATTGTATAGTATTTTGATACATTTTCTAATCACTTCTCTGAATTTCTTCTCAGGAACTTCCAAAGCCTGCCCATCTTCCAGTATGGAATGTAGGTCTATTTCCAGCTCATGTACCTCAGTCACTTTATCTTGTTTCTAGACATATTCTGTTATGGCCGTCTGTTTCTGTTTTTTGGGCATATTCAGGAGTTATCTGTGGCCTTAATACTTAGTTGTTGTTGTTGTTGTTGTTGTTAGGTGCCACTGAGTCGGTACCAACTCATAGCAACCTTATGCACAGCAGAACGAAACACTGCCCAATCCTGGGCCAACCTTACTACTGTTGCCATGCTTGAGTCCATCAATGCTGCCACTTGGCCAATCCATCTCTTTTGGGGTCTTCCTCTTTTTCTCTGACCATCCACCTCACCAAACATGATGTCCTTCTTCAGTGACTGGTCCCTCCTGACAATATGTCCGAAGTATGAGAGACGAAGTTTGGCCATCTTGGCCTCTAATGAGCAGTCTGGCTGCACTTCTTCCAAAACAGACCTCTTGGCTTTTTTTGGCAGCCCATAGCACTTTCAGTATTCTCCTCCAACACCATAACTTAAATGCATCAATTCTTCTACGGTCTTCCTTATTCACTGTCCAACTTTTGCATGCATATGAGGTTATTGAAAATACCATGGCTTGGGTCAGGCACACCTTAGTCCTCAAGCTGACATCTATGCTCTTCAACACTTTTAAAAGGTCTTATGCAGTAGATTTGCCTAATGCAATACGTCATGTGATTTCTTGACTGCTTCTTCCATGAGTGTTGATAGTCGATCCAAGAAGAATGAAGTCTTTGACAACTTCAATCTTTCTCCATTGATAAGAATGTTGTTTATTGGTCCAGTGGTGAGGATTTTTGTTTTCTTTACATGGAGATGTACTCCATACCAAAGGAGGGGTGTATGTTTTGGTATTTTTGATGTTTTCTGATTGCCTCCAGGTAGATGTGATCAGGAGATGGGCTTCTCTTTTCAGTCTTCTTCCTGAGAAATTTCAAGATGCCACTGTTTGTTGTTGTGCCATAACTCAGGATTTATTTTTTATCCTGTTTCCTTTTTAGTCTGCCTGTCCCGCTCCACAATCCCCGTGTAGGCCTTTTTCCTAGTGATAAACAGTTCCATGCTGGCTGTGGCCATTTTGTGCTGTCGTTTGGTTTTAAGTGGAACTGTCACTTTAAATTTTGAGGAGATCTGTGCACATACGTAGTAGAACCCTCTGGGGGTGGGGGGTGAGGGATGTCCACTTGCTCAGGCATCCCCTCTAGTCACCAGAATGGAGGTGCACAGACAGCAAGAGACCAATATACAGATAAACCTTTATCTCTGTGGTTCTGTCAGGCGTCTGTGGCTGCTCTGATCCTTCTCCCACTTGGTCTTGCCCAAGATGGTAGCTCCTGGAGCAGCTGAGCATCTTGAATTAGAAAGTGTAAGGAAAAGAAAGAAAGAGATGAAGGGCAGAGAGTCTTGGCTTCAATAGCAGGCAGGTTTATTGATAGTAAACCTGGGAGGGGGTACTCTTACATCACCAAAGGAGACCAAGATCCAGTCTGTTCCCTTACAGACTGGCGTATTTATAGTCCATGTGGTCTGGGTATAGTGCTGGCGAGTTTACAATGGGCAGGGGTATGGAGATTTGGAGCAGGGGTATGGAGATTTTCATGAAACTTGGAATTTCGGGGGGGAGGAGGGTCTCCAGGTATAACAAAGACCCAAGCTTCCCTGGAGATCGGGAGATCGAAAGCTCCAGTAGGACCCCATTCAGTGTCAGGTGGGATAGTTGCAATGCCATTCTGTTGATCAGGCACAAGGTCCTTCATTAAGCAATGGATTTCTTGCTTCTGCTACAAATTCCCCTAGCTGTAAGTCTTCCAACCTTCTAAATATTCCTTTACATGTGATTCAGAGTTCTGGCACCATCCCTTGAACCTGCTTGTTCCAGTATTCTGTGTTGTTGCTGATGGAGCTCCTCACTGCACTTCCACCTGATCTGCCATCTTGTTTGTTCTCCTGTATGATGTTCTTGATGTCTTCCCAAAACTCTTCTGTTCTTCGATCTTCAGTGTTTAATGTATCAAATCTGTTCTTCAGATGATCGCTAAATTCAGGTGGGGATTTGTTCAAGGTCATATTTTAGTTCTTTTGAACTTGTTTTCATTTTCTTCAGCTTCAGCCTGAACTTGAATATGAGCAATTGATGGTCTCTGTTCTACAATCTGTCCCTGGCCTGTTTTGGCTGATGATATAGAGCTTTTCCATCATCTCTTTCTACAGATATAGTCAATTTGATTTCTGTGTATTCCATCTGGTGAGGTCCATGTGTATAATTATGCTGTCTAAAGAAGGTATTTGAAATTAACAATCATTGTTTTTACAGAATTCTGTCATGAGATCGCCAGCATCATTTCTATCACCAAGGCCATATTTTCCAACTACTGATCTTTTCTCTCTGTTTCCAACTTTGCATTCCAATCACCACTCATGATCAATACATTTTGACTGCATGTTTGATCAATTTCAGAATGAAGAAGTTGGTAGCATTTTTCTATTTCATCCTCACTGGCTTTAGTGGTTGGTACGTAAATTTGAATAATATTGGTGTTAACTGGTCTCCCCTGTAGGCACATATATATTATCCTATCACAGACAGTGTTGTACCTCATTACTAATCTGGATATGTTCTTTTTGACAATGAATGCAACACCATTCCTCTTCAATTTGTCATTCCTGGCACAGTAAACCATGTGATTGTCAGATTCAAAATGGACAATACCAGTCCATGCGTTCTATTTCTTTCTTTCTTTTTTTTTTTTATTTCATTTTTGACAATTTCCAATTTTCCTATATTCATACTTAGTAAATTGCGTGCTCCAATTATTAATGGATGTTTACAGGTGTGTCTCTTCAGTTTGAGTTGTGTCCCATCCGCAAATGAAGGTCCCGCAGGATTTACTCCCACAGGCTTTACTCCATTCCTGTCATCAAAGTCAACTCTACTTTGAGGAGCCTGCTCTTTCCCAGTGACATTTTGAGTGCCTTCCAACCTGAGGGGATCATTTCCAGGCACTATATCTGACAGTGTTTCCCTGCTATTCATAAGGTTTCCAGTGACCAAACATTCAGAAGTAATTCGTCACTCCTTTCTTCCTAGTCTGTCTTGTCTGGAAGCTCATCTGAAACCTATCCACCATGATGACCCTTCTGGTATTTAAAATACCCGTGGCATAGCTTCCAGAATCACTGGATGAGTGGACAGCACTTAACAAGATGGGTTGTAATAATCTTTGGAAGTTCTGTAGTCTTTGGGTCCACTTTGAGTCTCTGGCTAGAAGTGTTTCCCGATCTACGAGTCATATATGAAATAAACTTCAACTTAATGTATATGTTTGGTTTAGTATGATTTTTGTTTTCACATAGTAATAATTTTCTATTCCTCAAAGAGCTGGGGGATTTATTTCTTTCTGTTTCTGTGATTGTTGGGCTACGGAATATAGTGGAAACAACAGAAATTTTGGAGGCAAAAGAGCCTGGCTTTGGTCTTAGCCCAGAACGAGATCCACGTGGCAGCTATATTTATGTCCAGTGTTTACCTCATCGTGGGGTGTACTGTGAGTGGCGGCACTGAGAATAAACCCCACTGGGGATTAACAGATGACTCATAAGCAAGTATTCCACCATTTTAAAAAGCTTATTTTATACAAATGTTAATTAACACAGACGGGTAACTAAGATTTTGGTACACAGAAACGTCTTTTTTCTACTCAGCCTTAGGGAAATTCACACAATGTGTAAGGCCAAATATTCACAGCTAACAGCACTACTTCACTGCTATTGGTTCTTTTCCCCGTTTAGTTGCCATGGAGACCAAGACTATGGCAACAGGGAAAAGCCAAACTTGTTCTTCAGTCGAAACGCGGAGGGGTCGTGGCTTGTGGAGGGATTGGGCGCGTCGCTCATGGCGCTTTATGAGCTTTTCTCTCACCCAGCCGAGCGCCGGTACCGCGCGGGGCTTTGCTCCAAGGCCGCGCTGTTTCTGCTGCTGGCTGCCATGCTCACCTACATCCCACCACTGCTAGTGGCCTTCCGGAGCCACGGTGAGCCAGCCAGCCCCGAGCGGAGGCCGCGGTCCCACGCGCCCCGACCGCCTCCCTGACCGCCTGCCCGCCCTTTTCGTTTACCTCAGGGTTTTGGCTGAAGCGGAGCAGTTACGAGGAGCAGCCGACTGTGCACTTCCAGCACCAGGTGCTGCTCGTGGCCCTGCTGGGACCGGAGCGCGGCGGGTATCTTGCCTGGAGCACCTTCCCGGCTTTCAATCGGCTGCAGGGGGACCACCTGCGTGTCCCGCTCGTCTTGGTGCGTGGTTCCCGGCCGGGAGGAGCCCAGTTTGGGTCTGACGGGCCCGCGAATGCAGGGAGGTTGGGTACACAGTCTCATGGGCCGATGGTACAGTTGCCTTAAGTATGGGCCGGGAGGGTGGCAGTCAGCCTGTCTCTGTATCTCATCATTTTTGGGCACCGGTTTGACAAGCAAGGGACTGTGAGACTACATGTGTGCGAATAACCCCAGCATCACAGTAGTTGCAGCCGCAAAAAAATCGGGTATTTTCGTGCTGAGGGACGCTGCGAACTGAGGCTCTGATTGGCTAAATGAGCGTCCCTGAGAGTGTGGCTGGCCAATCCACGCACCCCTGGGTCTGTCTCTTCTGGTGATGCTGCCCCATCCTCAGGAAAGGAAGCAACTTTCTGTAGGGCAAGGAATGAGGCTCCTTGGAGGCGCAGCGGTTAAGGTGCTGAGCTGCCAACCTAAAGTTGCGCACTTAGAAGCCACCAATTGTTCACGCATGAAAGAAAGATGTGGCAGCCTGCTTCCTTGAAGATTTACAGGCTCGGAAACCCT